GTTTTTCGATAAAAAGGATTTGGAGTGCACTCACACTACAACTTTCCTGGATGTATTTGGCCGCAATTACGGCCAGACTTGGATGTACCTGACCGCAATTACATCCAGTGACATCTTTCAAACAAGGCCCAGTACGAGTATGGGCCCTGGCAGTGCCAGCACCTCATTTACCTCTGCAACAAAAATGGAAGAGTAGAATACACGGGACACGTGTTCGAGTAGTCCACATTTGTTCCTCGAATAACACTCAGGGCCATTGTCCTTTTTTCGATAAAACAATTTGGAGTGCACTCACACTAGGACTTTCCTGGATGTATTTGACCGCAATTACGGACAGTCCTGGATGTACCTGACCGCAATCACGTCTAGTGACATCAGTCAAACAAGGCCCAGTGTGAGTACAAGCCCTGGCAGTGCTAGCACCTCATTTACCCGGCGCAATAGTGGAATAGTCGTGTACATGAGACGTGTTTCGAGGTCTCCCAAGTTATGGCTTCTCTCCACTTCACACTGGAAGATTGCACAAAATTTGTTAAAGAAAAAAGACCAAAACAAAAGAAGAAAAAGGAAAAAAAGAAAGAGTCAAAAAAAAAAAAAAAAGGATTCGCAAGGAATATGAGCGAGAGCGATAGACGGAAAAACAAGTTGCAAAATCATGCAGAAGTCCAGATAGTCATGTACCAAGCAGAGAGGTCAAATGCACCAAGATTCCATCCAAATAAGAGCAAAGCAGTGAACTCGTGTGCCAATGTTATCGCCCTCAGGCCCCTCCCACACAATATCCAACGCCGCTCATCTCTGTCTGGCCCCCAGCGCCCAGCCTACTCTACTGAGCCTATCTAGCCTATCTACATTCTCACAACAGGATCACTTCGACGTTAAAGACCAATGTACATGAAGTCAACACCAATGCCGACCTCCCACATACACCAGGTACGTTCTCTCTCCTCTCCTCGTCAGACCTTGACCACCCACTCATGTGCCTCCTACCCGAAGACCTCCTCATCCTATCACCCACATGAGCCCCTGCAGCCCGGCTATGGCTGCCGTGCGCCCGCTGCCCTGCAGCGGCCCTCTCACTTCATAGCATGCGCCCCAACCAGCAGCGCACATGCAGACCCTTGTGCAGCAGCGTGTCCGCATTGCCTGCCTAGGCCAGAATGTCCAGCCTCCGGCCAGTGACCTTCCTATATGGAAGTCGCGGCCTCTGTTTGGCTGCGAGGGCCTGGCGGAGGAAGCTCTCAGTAGCTTCCAGTCGGGCCCCAGTGTCTGCATCCAGGCCCTGTCCGACAGTTGGGGGCCTGGGCCCTTTCTGGTTGGGCACGTCCAGGCAGCCTCCAGCTATGTATCCCCAGCGGCCGCGGTAATGACCGCTGCGGCCGCAGTCGGGAACGGCCCGCTGCGGGCAGGGGGGGAGGGGTGACCAAAGTTAGGGTCGGGATTCCGGGGGCGCGACCCGGGCCCCACCCACCCATAAAGAAAAAAATTGAGAAACTTGAAAAACGGGGGGGTCCAAATAG